GGAGCTAAACTGGTTCTATAGGAAAGACTACCTATTCACACACACCTAAAACACTTCAAATCAAACCACGAAAAGATGAATTTGATCCAAAAGTAAGTTAACTACCTGCCAGAACAAAGTTCAACACTCTTTAATGAAACAGTACAAGTTTTAAAAGGAATATTACCAAGAAAGCTGGAAAGGCAGAAATCAGAGTTCAGGGATGTTGAGGCTGCTAGAACTTCTGAGACAGAGAACTGGAGAGTAGGGTGCTGCACAGATAGACTTCTGGAGAACTGTACAGGAGTCCCCTCAAATATATGACTAAGAAGTGATATACACATAAGTGAGAGGAATCTTGGAAATAGCCAGTGGAAAGGAGTAAGCAGAACAATTCCTGGAGTTCCCACAGGACAGGGAATAGTTTGTATTCTCACCAGTCATGGTAGAGAGACCTCATCCTACACAGGGCATTGGGTACAGCCCTCAGAAGAACCAGGCCTTAATAGTAGGGATAAAAAGCACAGAGTAAAGTCTTTGCTGGACCTGATCTACCATAATAAATTTTAATAATAAGCCTGAAATGGATCAAGGTGATCCTCGAGTAGATTTAACAAAATCAATACTCTCTCTTTTTTTTTTAAGATTTTATTTATTTGACAGAGACAGAAAGAGCCCAAGCAGGGGGAGCGGCAGGCAGAGGGAGAGGGAGAATCAGGCTTCCCGCTGAGCAGGGAGCCCAATGCGGGGCTCTATCCCAGGACCCTGGGATCATGACCCAAGCCAAAGGCAGACGCTTAACTAACTGAGCCAGCCAGGTGCCCCCAAAATCAATACTCTTTAAAAGGATAACCGTTGTGTACTGTTGGTGGGAATGCCAAATGGTACAACCACTATGGAAAACAGTATGGAGTTTCCTCAAAAAAAAAAAAAAAAAAGTCATATGATCCAGCAATCCCACTCATAGGTACATATCCAAACTAATTCAAAGCCAGATCTCAAAGAGATATTTGTACACCCATGTTCATTGCAGCATTATTCACAATAGCCAAGAAATGGAAGTAACCTGAGTATCCACTGACAAATTAATAAAGAAAATGTAGTATATACCTACAATGGAATATTATTCAGCTTTTAAAAAAAGATATCCTGTCACATGCTACAGCATGGATGAACCCTGAAGGCATGCTAAATAAGCTAGTCACAAAAGGACAAATACTGTGTGATTCCACTCATATAAAGTTTCTAAAGTCATCAAAATCATAGAGACAAAGTAGGAAGGTGGTTGTTAAGGGTTGCAAGGAGAGGGTGAGGGGAGGGGAAAAGTGTATAGTTTCACTTTTGCTGGGTGAAAGGTTCTAGAGATCTATTACCCAACAATGTGAAAATACTTAATGCTACTGAACTGTACACTTAAAAATAGTTAAGATGGTAAATTTAACGTTATATGCCTTTTAACACACAAAATCCATCCTCTCTCCAGTTAATTTGTCACCTTTGTAATATCATATATTCGCATATGTATAGGTATAAAAGTTTTTTTCTCTATTCTAATCCATCGAATATTTGTCTTTTTAGAATATCATATTGATTTGATAGAATATTTGTATTAAATGCTCGAGATGTAATAAGACAAATCTCACTCACTGTACTTATTTCTCTCTCATTTTCTTTTTTTTTTTTTAAGATTTTATTTATTTATTTGACAGAGACAGACACAGCAAGAGAGGGAACACAAGCAGGGGGAGCGGAAGAGGGAGAAGCAGGCTCCTGGCCGAGCAGGGAGCCCGATGCAGGGCTCGATCCCAGGACCCTGGGATCATGACCTGAGCCGAAGGCAGATGCTTAACGACTGAGCCACCCAGGCACCCCTCTTTTTTTTTTTAAGCAGCATTTTCAGTAGTCTTTTTAATCTCTACCTTTTTTTTTTTAAAGATTTTATGTATTTATTTGACAGAGAGACAGAGAGCACAAATAGGGGGTAGTGGCAGAGGGAGAAGGAGAAGCAGACTCCCCACTGAGCAGGGAGCCTGATAGGGGGCTTGATCCCAGGATCCTGGGATCATGACCTGAGCCGAATGCAGACACCTAACCAACTGAGTCACCCAGGTGCCCCTCTCTCATAATTTTCTTGACTCTTCTGTAGAATTTAACCTTCCACATAAATGCTAGGCATATTTTATTCAATTCTATGATACACATAATTGGGATAACAACTAATTAATAGGAGCCCCAGGCAGACTCAGTCGGTATAGCATGCAACTCTTGATCTTGGGGTCATGAGTTCAAGACCCATATTGGGCATAGAGCTTACTTAAAAAAATTAGTATATTACTTTTGGGAGAAATATTATTTTTATGCTAACTTTGTATCCAAGAATATAGTGCATTTTCCCATTTCTTCAGGTCTAATGTTTTTATATTATACTTATCAATAAAATTTTAGAGATTTCTCTTCAACTTATTCCTAAGCATTTTATAGTTTTTCCACTATTATGAATAAAATATGGAATATTTTTCTCATTTTTTTATTCCTAGGTGCTTGCTGTCAGAATACTGAAACTGAGAAACCTAATGAATTTAGTATATTGCTTTGATACATAGACACATTACTAATCTCTTATTAATTCTGTTAGTATTTTACTGAATAACTTAGGTATATGTCATCAGCAGAAAGAGAATATTTAAACTGTTCTTTTAAAATTTTTATCTTAAATAAATAATAAATAGGTTGATTCTATGCCTAGTTTCTGATTTTAATTTAAATTGTTTACCTGGCTTTCCATTTAGAATACTAGCTGTGCTGTTTCTAGAGGGGTTTTTGTTGTTGTTTTTGTTGTTTGTTTGTTTTTAAGATTTTATTTAAGTAATCTTCAGTGTGGGGCTTGAACTCACAACCCTGAGATCAAGAGTTGCATGCTTTACCAGCTGAACCAGCAGGTTCCCCTTTTTTAAATAAATGGTCTTTGTTATATTTAGGTAGTTTCCTTCTATTTTCTATTATACTTTAAGTTTTTATTAAGATGGCTGTTAATTTCATCAAATAACTTTTTGGCATTTATTGATGTCAATGTATGCTTTTACTCTTTATTGTTATGGTAATAGATTATGTTGATAGATTTCCTGTTATTCAAATACCATTGCATTCCTGAAACAACAAATCTTGCTTGAACCTAATTTTTAATTTTTCAATATATGTATATACACACATATATGTATTCTTTTTGCTGAATTTTGGAAGAGAATTGTGTACCTATATTAGTGAGATAGGACTATAGTTTTTGCCTTTATAAAAAATATACAGGCACCTGGGTGGCTTAGTCGGTTAAGCATCTGCCTTCGGCTCTGGTCATGATCCCAGAGTCCTGAGATCGAGCCCCATGTGGGGCTCCCTGCTCAGTAGGGAGTCTGCTTGTCCCTCTCCCTCTGCCCCTCCCCCTGCTCATTCTCTCTCTCTCTAATAAATAAAATCTTTTTTAAAAATGATTTAAAACATATATATATATTTTAAATTTATTCTGATTTCTTAAAATAAATGAAGAAGCTTTCTAATTTAAACAGTAACTTTCTTAAAAAGGAACAGAATTATCTGTTCTTTAAAAGTTGTGAATCCCATCTGGTACTGGAGCCTTTTATCAAGTAGTAAATTAAAAAAAAAAATCTTTACTATGTCTTTTATAAAGATGGCAATTTTATACAGAGTACACGTATTTGGTAATTTATATTTTGCTAGAAAATTATCCATTTCATCAAAGGCTTTCAAATTTGTTATAAAATTGCTAGTCATATTCTCATAATTCTTTTAATATCTGCTGAATATGTTGTATGTCTTCTTTCTCATGCCCAATTTTGTCTATTTTTTTCTTTTCACTTAATCAGACCCATGAGTTTATCTGTTTGTTATCTTTTCCTTAATATTTTTCTAGATGAGGCATGTGAATGATCTACTCTCTGAATTCCTGCACATTTTCAAAGACTGTTCTTTCACGCGACAGGCTAATAGCTGCGTAAAGAATCTTCCCTTTTCTCATTCTAAAGGTGCTATTCTACTGCCTTCAAGCTTCTAGGGTTACCAGTAAGTCCAATGCAAATGTGGCTCTTTTTTTCTTTCTCAGCAATTTGTTCTTTCTAAATGGTAGCAAATAGTATTTGCTCTTTATTCTTAGAGTTCAGGAATTTTTATCAGGTTGTGTATGTGTGTTTTCTCATCAATTCAGTCTACCCTGGATTCTGGGAGCCTTTTTAATTTACAAAATTAGATCTTTTGGGCGCCTGGGTGGCTCAGTTGGTTAAGCCACTGCCTTCGGCTCAGGTCATGATCCTGGAGTCCTGGGATCGAGTCCCACATCGGGCTCCCTGCTCAGCAGGGAGTCTGCTTCTCCCTCTGACCCTCCCCCCTCTCGTGCTCTCTATCTCTCTCACTCTCTCTCTCTCAAATAAATAAATAAAATCTTTAAAAAAAACAAAACAAAAAAAACAAAATTAGATCTTTTAGCTCTCTTGAATGTTTCTTTTTGTCTGTCCAGAGTGCGTATTGTCTATATGTTAAGTCTCTTGCCTTTCTGCTCTAGCGGCTTGTTTTGCTTCTTGATTTCCATGTCTGCTTTTATTTCGCATTTTGAAAAAGTTCTTGAACTTTACCTTTTAGGCCATTACGGTGACCAATCTTTTTTTCAATTTATCTACCAACATATTTAGTTGGAGATTTCTATTTTTTATATTTCTAGTAATTTTACTGCACTTGAATTTCATTAAGTAGTTTTAAAAAAAACCACGTGAGTTGTTCTCTTTGGGGGAAGAGATTATTTTCTGTTTATGACTTTTTTCCTGGTCTTACCTATATAGGATTCTTTTCTTTTCTTTTCTTTTCTTTCTCCTTTCCTTTCTTTCCCTCCCTGCTTCTTTCTTTCTTTCGTTCGTTCGTTCTTTCTTCCTTACTTCCTTCCTTCTTCTTTTCCTTTCCTTTCCTTTCCTTTCCTTTCCTTTCCTTTCCTTTCCTTTCCTTTCCTTTCGTAAGCTCTATGCCCAGTGTGGGGCTTGAACTCACAGCCCTGAGAGCAAGAGTCACATGCTCTACCAACTGAGCTAGCCAGGCACCCATAGGGTGCTTTTCTTTTTCTTTCTTTTTTTCTTATTAGGGATCAGGTCTAGTTTTTTGGAGGACCTGGAGTCTACCAAGCAGTTATTAAACTTGTATCACTTCCCTTCTGATTCCCAAAATAGAGATCTTAGAATGTTCTAAGCAGATAAGACTGAAGACTTCGGAGCCAGATTGCCTCAGTTCAAATACCAGCTCTGCTGTTTACTAGTGATGTGGCCTTGGGCAAATTATTCGAACTCTGTGTCTCAATTTCTTTATCCAGTGGGGGAAATAATCAGAGTATTCTTGTGGGGTTATTGTGAGAATTATAGGAGTCTACTTTTGTGAAATACTGAGAACAGTTCCTGGCAAGCATATTGGCTGTTTTTAAAAATTCCTTCTGAAAACAGATGCATATGTGGTGGAACAAAAACTGTTAAAACTTTGAGCTTTCTAGCTTTCTCTCCCAATTGTTCTCAATTTTGGCTGCACATTTGAATCACTGAGAAGCTTTTAGAAATTCTCTTGCTGTACCCCCAGACTAATTAGATGAAATTTCTCAAAAGGGGAACAAAGCAGTGGGAGTTTTTAAAACTTCCCATGGACTTCCACTCTGTATCCCAACACAGAACTCTTGCCTTAAACCCTATACCAAAGAAAATTTCACTGTTTGCCTATTGATCTACTCTTGTATTAGTCATGATAAATATGAGTTTTTTCAGATAGGTTCTTTTGCTCTGCAGAATGCAGATTTTAAAAAGAGGTCTAAGAGTGAGGCTAAATCTCAGATTCAAGAAACTTTGGAAAAATGTTGCAGTTATTTTGCACTACACTAAGAGAGAACCCAAAACCTAGAAGGCAAGGCTCTTTGGGGATCCAGTCCCTGTCTGCTTGTTCCTCCAGCCTCCTCACATTTCCCCACTACTCACTAGGCTCCAGCCTAGCCAGCTACCTTTGTGTCAAACTCTTCCTATCTCCAGGCTTTTCTGCTGGCTATTTCTTGTTCCAGGAATGCTCTCTACTCCCTACCCTTTCTTTACCTGGCCATTGCTTAATGTCACTTGCTCAGAAAAATATTTCTTGAACTTCCAATAAAATCAGTCCCTCTAGGGCTCACTATTCACCAACACTGCAGTTTCCTTCACAGAACCTACCACAATGTGTAATTATTCACTTTTGTGATTACTGGTATAATGCCTAACTCCTAGCTAGACTATAAGCTCTATGTTTATTTTGTTCTATTTATCTTAATGCCTTATGGCTAATACTGTGCAATATACCCAAGAGCTCCTGAGTAAATATTTAATAAGTCAATAAATGAAAAGTGTTCTTAATTTTGATCAGTGATTAAAAGATTGAAATTTATGGGCACCTGGGTGGCTCAGTTGGAAGAGTGTGTGACTCTTGATCTTGGGGTCATAAGTTGGAGCCTGACGTTAGATTAGCGATTACTAAAAAAGAGAGAGAGAGAGATTGAAATTTAGTCCTGAAAGGGATTTTTGATTGTCTATTTCAAATAGTTTGTGGTTTGAAGAAACTGATACTCAAGTATGTAAATTACTTGCCCCAAATCATTCAGCTAATTAGTGATGGATTAGGACTCAGTCTCATTTCTTCCATTTCTAAGTCAGTGAAATTTTCTGGTACTAAGGGATTTGCTACTGCAGATATAAAACAAGAGGATCAATAAAGTAATCTATATATATGGAATGAAGATTTAATACACTCATCATTTAGAAAAACGATTTTTACTGAACGATAATATAAAGTGTTAGAAGATACTGAAAACTGAACTGAGTTTCAGTTTTCAAGTGAAAGCATAAGTGAATAAATAAAGGCTTTGTTTAATCATTGTGAAAGGTTGCTAATCCTTAGTCCAGATTAGATTACTATTTGGAATGTGCCGTTCCTCAGAAAAGTGTGCCATCTACCAGTAATAAAGCAACCACTCATTAAATTCCTGTACCATGCTAAGTGATTTGCATGCATAAACCCCAAATCTCTGCAACTTTGCAAAGTAGGTATTATTCACAGATGAGAAAATGAGACTGATTATCACACAGTTCATAAATGGTTAACACTGAAACCACACTGGTGACTTCTGATTCTCATCTGACACATAAAGAGCTTGGAAGTTGTCACTTCCAACCTCAGAACAAGAAAAAAGCTTAACAAATTGAAATCAACAACTCTTCTTAGATGTAGCAGAGAACTGAAGTCACAGGGCACACTGCTGCCCTGAAAACAGAGATAGGGGCGGCTGGGTGGCTCAGTCATTAAGCATCTGCCTTCAGCTCAGGTCATGATCCCAGGGTCCTGGGATCGAGCCCCACATCGGGCTCCCTGCTCGGCGGGAAGCCTGCTTCTCCCTCTCCCACTCCCTCTGCTTGTGTTCCCTCTCTCGCTGTGTCTCTCTGTCAAATAAATAAATAAAATCTTAAAACAACAACAACAACAAAAAAACCTGAGAGACAGACAGAGAATCACAGTTTACAGGGAGCAAAAGCCCAGGAGCAAAAGCCAGCAGCTGGAGCCAATATTAGTAGGAAAACTTTAAACTGTAACTAACAAATTGTTGGAAAACTCATTGCAGACTAGCTTGAGAGTTAAAAACTCCTGAGGGCCCCAGGATTGGAAGGCCCCTACACTTTCCTGAATTTTACCTCTAAGAGCTATACCAAGTTTTCACTGTAAGGATCAAAGAAAAATCCCTCCAGGGGAGGGGGAAAGTATTCATTTTTTAAAGTGCTAAAGAGCTCTCAGTTCTCCTTAACAAAGTTCTCCCTCAAGGAAAACTGTTTTACCAGAGCCTAACTGACTGGAGTTTTACCAAACCCAAACCTACCCGGGGGAAGGGAAATACCCAACTCCAGCCTCCTCTAGCCTTTGACATGGAGGAAAAGAAATACCCAACTCAGGCTCACTAAAACACTGAGACTTAATTATAGGATTATAGAACACTTCTCCTCCCACACTTTGCCACCTCATCAATAGGGCTACTGTATAATAACAGGAGATTAAAGCTAAAAGAACTGCAAGCCTCAGACTCTTTTCTTACATTCCTCTTCTAGGAATACCCAAAAACAATAGGGGAGACAAAAACAAGGACCCTAGAGGAAATTTTAGCCTCTGACACCACAGCAAAGCAAACATTAAATATAGTCCAACTCCTAGCAGGTAAACATAAAACCTCACACTAAGGCCTATACCTGGTATATCATGTCCAGCTTTCAACAAAAAATTAGAAGGCATGCTAACAGGCAAAAACCAGTCTTAAGAGACAAAGCAAGCATCAGAACCAGATTCATATATGGTAAAGATTTTGGAATTATGAGACAAGGCATACTAATTAGTATACTAAGGACTCTAAAGAAAGAAGTGGACAATATGGAAAAATAGATGAGTAATGTAAGCAGAGAGATGGATATCCTAAGAAAGAATCAAAAGGAAATACTAGAAATAAAAAACAAAGTAACAGAAATAAAGAATGCTTTTGATGGGCTCATCAGTAGACTAGACCTGGCTGAAGGAAGAATTAGTGAGCTTGAAGATATGTGAGGCAAAGACTGACAGAACTGCAAGGAGAAATAGATTTATCCACTATTAGAGTTTGAGACTTCAATACCTATCAGTAATTGACAGATCCAACAAACAAAAAATCAGTAAGGATAGAGTAGAACTGAAGAGCACCATCAATCAACTGAATATGATTAACATTTATAGAATACATCATCCAACAAAAGCTAAACACATATTCTTCTCAAGTTCACATGAAACATTCACCAAGACAGACCACATTCTGGGCCATAAAACACACCTTAACAAATTTAAAAGAATAGACATCATACAAAGTTTGTCCTTAGACCATGAGGTAATTAAACTAGAAATCAATAACAAAGATAGCTGGAAAATCCCAACATATTTGGAGATTAAACAATATACTTCTAAATTGTACATGGGTCAAAAAATAAGTCTCAACAGGAATGAAGAAATATTTTATGGGGCACCTGGCTGGCTCAGTTGGTAGAGCATGCAACTCTTGATCTCAGGGTCATGATTTCAAGCCCCACATAGGGTGTAGAGTTTACTTCATAATAAAAAATAATATTTTAGGGGCGCCTGGGTGGCTCAGTCATTGAGCGTCTGCCTTCGGCTCGGGTCGTGATCCCGGGGTCCTGGGATCGAGCCCTGCATTGGGCTCCTTGCTTGGCCGGAAGCCTGCTTCTCCCTCTTCCGCTCCCCTTGCTTGTGTTCCCTCTCTTGCTGTGTCTCTCTGTCAAATAAATAAATAAATAAATAGATAAATCTTTAAAAGAATTTTTTTAAATGTCTTATAATAAGTAAAAATTAAAATATAACCTATCAAAAGTTGTGGGCTGCAGTGAAATAATGGTTAGATGGAAATTTATAGCATTGAAATGCATTTTATTTTATTTTATATTATTTTATTTATTTATTTTTAAAGATTTTATTTATTTGACAGAGAGAGAGCACATAAGCAGGGGGAGGGGGAGAGGGAGAATCAGGCTCCCCACTGAACAGGGAGCCTGATGCAGGGCTTGATCCCAGGACCATGGGATCATGACCTGAGCCGAAGGCAGACACTTAACTGACTTAGCCACCCAGGCGCCCCTGAAATGCATTTTAGAAAAAAAGAAAAAGATCAATAGTCTGAGCTTTCAATTTAGGAGAGCTAGAAAAATAAGAACAAATTAAATTCAAAGCAAATTAAAGCAGAAGAAAGGAAATAATAAAAATTAGAACAGAAATTAATGAAATTGAAAACAGAAGAACAAAAAGTTGGTTCTTTGAAAGATTAATAAAATTGGAAAACCCCTAGTCAGCTAACCAAAAATAAAGGGCAGAAATTAAAAAGAGAAAAGAGAAGATACAAATTACTAGTATCAGGAAGGAAAGAGGTGTCATCACTACCAATCTCATGGACACTGAAAGGATAATAAGGGAATATTATAAACAACCATTCCCACAAATTTGAAAACTTAGATAAAATCAAC